ATATGAAACAAATAAAATAAAACACACACAAAGCAGAACACAGCTAAATGTACCAAAAGTTTGTCTGTGTGATGTTAGAATTTTCATTTTTTTCGGTAAGAGGTTTTTATTTAATAGAATTTTTGGACAAAAAAATCGCAATATATCATAATATATCGCCTTGCTTACAGTATCACAATAAATCGGGATATATCGTATCGTGACCCCTCTGTCATGATATGTATCGTATCGCCAAATTCTTGCAAATACACAGCCCTAATATGAAGGTTTAACTCTTAAATTAATTAGTTTCTTGAGTAAATCAGTTATTTTTCCTGCTGCCTCAGAGAACCAGGTGACGGAGCACACAGCAGAGAGCTACATGCTGCAGTGGCAGCGAGGTCACCTCAGTAACTACCAGTACCTGCTGCACCTCAACAACCTGGCCGACCGCAGCTGCAACGACCTGTCGCAGTACCCCGTCTTCCCCTGGGTGGTGGCCGACTACACCAGCTCTCAGTTAGGTGGGTCCGCCGGGTCCGACGGCTCGGGACTCTGGAGGTGCTTATTCAGAACCGTTCCTGTTTTCCCCCCACAACAGATGTGACGGACCCCGCCTCGTTCAGAGACCTGAGCAAACCTGTGGGAGCCCTGAACAAAGAGCGACTGGACGGGCTGCTGGTGAGAGGCTGTTAGATTTTAAACACGAGGAATAAAAGTCTCTTCATGACCTCAGAGCTGTGTTCAAACAGGCCCGCTACCAAGGCATGCCTGAGCCCCGCTTCATGTACGGAAGCCACTACTCGTCTCCAGGATACGTCCTCTTCTACCTGGTCAGAGTTGGTACGATGTTACAGCTACAGTCTGCAGCTTTTCAAAGTAAAATACCCTGATGAGTGTTAACAAATGACTTTTGGTGAACGTCCAGCTCCAGAGCACATGCTGTGTCTCCAGAACGGCCGGTATGACCACGCAGACCGCATGTTCAACAGGTACAGTTCACCTGAAACCACTCTTTTTTTTTCTTTTTAAGAGAGACTAGATGATTGTGTTGTATTTAAAGCCATGTTTTTATTCCCTGCAGCATCAGTGAAACCTGGAAAAACTGCCTGGAAGGAGCGACRGACTTCAAAGAGGTGAAAGTTTTTATCTTTTTTTTCCAAACTTCACTGTGGTTGTTGGAGTTAAAGGTTTGACTTCATGATTTTGTTGATGATCAGAGTATCTAAGCGTGCTTGTTTGGACTGTTTGGTAGTGTTATCAGGCAGTTGCTTGAGTAAAATCAGTGMGTAAAGGTCAGCAGAAACAAGCGGTCTCGTAGAAACTTTAAACAGGATTTGATGGAGTTTGGTGGCTGGTCCAGATGTTGGAACCTGAAGGAACTCAACATGCGTTGCAAAGGTTTTGGTCAGAAATGAGGTCCGTCACGTGTGACAAACCCTACACAGCAAAATCCAATGTGTTAATTTAAAGCACTGTTGAATTTAACACTTTTTCTGAGTTTATATAATCCTCACTTTAAGGTAAACTTCCTCATGGCAGAGCACACCCCCCACCTCCCCCCTCCTCACACCGCCCATGACTCCTGCAGGCTCTGGGGTGAAAGTGAAAGTGAAACTTAATTTTCTGCTGAGTTCCTAACACTACTTCTCACTCAGTGAAGCTCTTTTCAGATTCAAAATACCTTTGAGGAAATGTATTTTCAGATGCCAACTAAACTGCATCATAGCACAAACCCCCCCTCCTCCCCGCACCGAAATGGGCGGGACAGAAGCGGAAGATGGTTCTTAAAGAGACAGAGGCCAATTTCAAGGTGTTTAGAAG